TGATTATGTTAAACAATTAGGTATTTTACCAATCTGTCTCATGGTAAATTCAATAACATTCTCTTTGAAATATTTTATATATTCATCAAAAGTGTTTTATGTGCCAATACATTTATTTGTGAATTTAATTCATTTAAAAAATTGGTCATATGACATAAAGCGTTGGGCTCAAAAGATAGGACTTACCTATATCTATAGCAATATTATCAAGAACAGGACATCTCCATGGATGTGTGCATTATTCATTTCTTCATAGAATATATGCAAAAAATTCATCTTTGTAATGTAAGCAGAAAGATGACAAGACTGAATTATTTGAAAAAGCTAAAGGAAAGTTGACCATACAACATCAAATCAAATTGATCTTTATTATACTAAATCCTCCCTTTTCACAAGAAATTATCCTTGTTCTGTGTATAAGGTATTATATTTTAGTCGGTCTAGAAGTGCATTTCTTTGTTTTTTAAGTATAAAATTTACAAATGTGTCTGAAAAACACATGCACTTCCGTATCTCATGAATGGCATATAGTATTAGTTGATTTATTCCCACATATAACTCAACTAAATATTCTTGTAATTCTTACTCTGATTCCATTTCATTCACCAAATTTCCCATCAGTTAAGAACAAGTAATTATATTTCTGGATTGAGCAATTATTAATTTTATTAATTTCTTTCCTCATTCACAAGTATTTGCAAGTATGCTGTCTATTTCCACATAGGTGCCTCCAGCACATGGATGCTGGTGGAATTTTGATCGAGATGGCATTGAAAGTATAGAATGATCTAGGCAGTATAGACATTTTAACAATATTTATTCTTCTGATCCATGAACATAGAATGTGTTTCAATCTTCTTGTGTCTTCTTCCGTTTCTTTCATGAGTGTTCTGTAGTTCCTCGAGTACAGATCCTTTACCTCCTTGGTTAGGTTTATTCCCAGGTATCTTATGGTTCTTGGTGCTAGAGTAAATGGAATCAATTCTCTAGTTTCCCTTTCTATAATTTTCATTGTTAGTGTATAAGAAAGCAATTGATTTCTGTAGATTGATTTTGTATCCTGCCACATTACTGAGTTGCTGTATGAGTTCTAGTAGTTTGGGGTGGAATCTTTTGGGTTTTCCATACAAAGTATCATGTCAACTGTGAAGAGAGAGAGTTTAACTTCTTTGACAATTTGAATACTTTTATTTCTTTTTGTTGTCTGATTGCTGTTGCTAGGACTTCTAGTACTATGTTGAACAACAATGATGAGAGTGGGCATCCTTGTCATTTTCCTGATCTCAAATGGAAGGCTGTCAGCTCTTCCCCATTGAGGATGATATTTGTTTATATTCGTTTTTCCTAGATAGATTTATGAAGTTGAGGAGTGTTCTCTCTATCCCTATACTTTGAAGCATTTTAATCAGGAACAGATGCTGTATTTTGTCAAATGCTTTTTCTGCATCAATTGAGAGGACCATTTGGTTCTTCTCTCTCCTCTTATTGATTTGTTCTATCACATTGATTGATTTGCAAATGTTGAACCACCCTTGCATCCCACGGATAAATTCCACCTGCTCATGGTAGATAATCTTTTTAAAGTACTGTTGGATCCTATTAGCTAGGATCTTGTTGAGAATCTTGGTATCCATATTCCTCAGGGGTATTTGTCTGAAATTCTCCTTTTTGATGGAGTCTTTGCCTGGTTTGGGGATCAGGGTAATGCTGGCTTTGTAAAAAGAGTCTGGAAGTTTTCCTTCTGTTTCTATTTTTTGAAACAGCTTCAGGAGAATAGGTATTATTTCTTCTTTGAATGTTTGGTAGAATTCTCCAACTGTTTAATTTTAAAACAATAGTTTTAGTTATAATATCTGATACTATATATAAAATTTTAAAAATGGTAATTTAAAGAGAAGATGTCTGATGGAGAGAGGTACTCTAGACCCAAAAGAGAGAAGCTTAAGAGAAGAGTTGGTAGAAATACAGTTGTTCTCCAGTCAGAATGTAGACCACACTTTGGCCACAACTATGTTTTTGTTGGCAGATATTTCCTTCTTTCCCCTGATTGGTCTACCCTAATAATTTATTTCTTTGCCTCCCATTTCTTTCTTTATCAGGTTTTCGTGATGAGTGCTCCATACCCACTACCTATACATCCATTCTCTCAATCCTTATTACCCACTCATTTGGACTCTGGACCATTCCATTCCATTGAAAAAGATTATGTCTAATGATTACTAATTACCAGCTCTGTAATCTTTTCTTCAGGTCTAATTATTCTGGACTTACAGGAAGTGTTACATGGTTACCTAACTTTGCCTTCTTAAAAAGTTCTCTCTTACTTAGGCTTCCATTTTACAGTATTATTATCCTTGTCCTAATTTTATTAATTTTCTTTTGCTTTTCTTTTCTTAAATGTTAGGGGAGGGTCATTTCCCCCAAAGCTCTTTTTCTTTTTCTATGTTCTGCTTCAAAGAGACATGGATTCTTGACAGGTGATTGCTAATTTATTTTCTTGCCCCTTCTTCTCTTCTAAGATTTAGTTTCTTGTTTCCCTGTGTTGGATAGTTTTTTCATCATTAATAAATACACATTGTGCCCCAAACTGAACTTATATCCTAAATCCCATATTTTCTTATTTTACCTGGCCTTTTTATTTGTTAATAATGATGATTTCCCCTTAATAATTGAGGAAAAGAATTCACCATTTTGTCCCACATCATCACCTCATATCAACATGTCTTAATGAGTTTCTTCTGAAATATAGTCTATTCTTTCAATCCATCTAGTTACTTGTCAGTTCTTAATGAAAAATTTTGTTGCCTTATTCCCCCAAAACACAGTGATATCCTAACTGGTTGCTCTGTGGCTAAATTATCTGTATCTTTTATACATGCCCCCATTAGTTTGGTTGCCATAATCCTGACTTTGACCATCCTATTCCCTTCTTCCACCCAAGGTTTAATGCCTTCCTTTAGTCTATAAGATAAATTCTAATCAGGAAGCTCAGCCTTTTCTGTCCATTTATTAGAGGAGATAAGCTAGTAGCAGGGGTTCATATGAGTTTGAATACCGAGGAGTGATTTGTTGGGACAAACAATCTTATTCTGTGGGTCAGAGCGATGCTGGGATAGACCAGGTACAAGTTTAACAACAAGGACATAATATCCTAGCAGCCAGGAGGAAGAGAATTGGAATGGGAGTCAATGCAATATCCAAATGGGTAGGACAAGTATGTTTAAAGGGGCCCAACACATAAAATCTAGAAGCCAAAGATGCAGAAGCTAAGAAGGCTGGGAAAAAATTGAGTTGACTCTTTGGCAAGTCTGAAGTCCACATTCCAGACTTGCCTTTGCTGGTGTTAAAATTTTCACTCTAAAGATACTTCTCACACAACCTCCCTTTCCATCTTTGTCTTCTATTCAGATTCTCAGGCTGGATAGTCTACGGCTAAGATTAGGTCTTGCCTGTCTCTCTAGATTCTTCTCTTAACTCCCACTCAGACATCCAACATCCCTCAATACTTTAGCCTTTTGTACAGTTTTCCCCAAGTCTTTCTACTCTTGGAAAACAAGCTCTAGCTTCACATTCTCTGTGAAACCTTCCTCAATCCCTTTGAGTCAAATTATATCTTATCTATATCTCTGTATCACTTATCACACCTCATAATAAGTTTTTGTTTTGTCTTTTTCCTCAACTAGAACTTAACATCAGGCACTGGCTTGTCAGTTTTTCTTCTTCACTGTGTAACAGAGTACTCAACAAATGTTAATGTTCTATTGATGCGTAGTTAAAAAATGGCAATCTGACACTCACAAAATGACTACTACCTTCCTGCCTCCACACCTATGCTAAAACTTGACCCTCATCACTGATACACCTCTCCCTGCCTTCTCCTCCTCCAGGCTCTTAGAAGATTTAATAAATGCACCTAGATGCCATGTAATGAACCAGGGCCGGAAAGATGAGTCAGACATGGTTCCTGCAGTAGTTGCAGTCTGTTGAACTCAAATTAAAACCCCACCTATGTTGGAATTTGGTTACCAGGCTAGCCTGAAGGGAACTCTCTCTGCTTCAAACTTCCATAGTTCTGATTGACCGTTATGACTACTCAGATCAGTATTCACTAATTATTTAATATTGTGATCATGAGTTGTTTTTGATTCTCAAATAAGTTCTTGACCTCTTATTTGTTTCTCATCATACAATTTGTCTGCTAAGACACATACATTTTTTATTGTCAACTAAACTGGGAATTCTTTGAGAACAAAGCCTATATCTCTTAAACTTCTGTGTCAGTTTCAATACATTAAGCAAAAAGTGTTACACACAAGGAAGGGTGCTGTAAGTGAGTGGGATAACATGTGTTAAGACCATGTAGGGTAGTGGGAAGACATCTTAGACCATCACCTTCCCCTGCTTCATGAGCTGGGAAAATTCCTCTAAGACAAGAGCATTGTGTGTCTAAGGCAGTAGGTGATCTGAAGGGTGAGGGAGACCCTGAAATTCTGAAAGCTGCAGACCATTTGGTTGTAGGATCCTGTTTCAGAAAATTGGCTCTATGGGCTTCTTCATAGCAGGTCTTTCTAGTTTTTAGCTTCTATTACTAGACTGATTCTTTAAATCTCCTAAGTATTTTAAACAAGCCCCCCTGTGTTCCTTTTCATTCATGTCAAAAACCCATTTATTTTTATGGCTCTGATATTTTCACATTGATACTCTGAGCATCCAATTTTGGGTTGACAACATGTCTTTTCATGTTGATGAGTTTTGCATAAATTGGAAGTACATTATATATTGATTAGTGGGAGTGCAGGCTTGAGTTTCCAAGAACAGGTTGGCATTCATAACAGGATATATTTAAAACCAAATGACTAGGACTATCCCACTACATTGCTGTGTATAAATCCCTGACTGTACTCACTACATCATAAATAATAATGAAAGTAAATGTACGTTTATCAGAAAGAATCAACAAAACCCCAGCACTGATTTGCTGATTGCACTTGTCTCACCAGGCATTAAGGCCAGCTTTCGAACAAGGGTGCCTGAAGGTTTGATTGTCTTTGCCGCATCGCCTGGCAATCAGGAAGAGTATTTTGCACTTCAGTTGAAGAATGGACGTCCTTGTTTTCTTTTTGATCCTCAGGTAAATGAGTAATCATAAGACTTGATATATTTGAGAGTGTACTAGGTTCCAGGGACTGAGGTAAACGCTTATATTTCACATTGAATCTTCACCAAAAACTTGGAGGTAAGTACTATTATTAGCCTCGCTTTACTGATGAAAACAATGGAACTTAGGAAGGTGCTGACGACTTGCCCACAGCTAAAATAGCAGAGCTCTCTTACAAACCGCATAGTCTGACTGAGAATCTGCATGCTTAACAGCCTTATGTTATCTTATAATGAAGATGGAAACTTTTAAATACATTTGAATAGATCTATTTTTATTTTCCTTGAAAGCAAAACTATGTCTCTCTTTAATTCTTCCACATCCTCTCTCCTTCCTTCTCTCTTTTTTTCTCTCTCTCTTTTCCTTCCTCCCTCTCTCCCTCCATACCTCCCTCCTTCCTTCCTTCCCTCCTTTGTTTACCAGCAAATATTTATGTTCCTATCAGGTACTATAATGCTGGGTATCACAGACTATAATAGTTTCAAAGTTAAATTCAACCATGTCCCTGTGAAACAATCTAGGTAAAATTAATGTAAAATATTCATGAACATTATGGAAGAAAAGTACAAGGAGCTGTGTATTATGGGAGCATAAAATAAAGGGTCTTTCTTTTCAGTTGTCAGTCTTCTCTAAAAATGTGATATTTAACTGAGATGCAAAACAATGAGGAAAAGTCAGAGCAAGAACACATGTCTGTACGGAAGATGCATGTTTGAGAAGGGGCAGGACAGGGGAGATACTAATGAGAGCAGGAAGGCACTGAGAATAAAATTTCCGGAAGAGCAAATAGCAAACATTAAGTGCCCAAGTAGACAAGAATGTGACTTATTCTACACATCAAGATGAATGTAATATAGAACAAAGAGAAATGTGAGAGTTTGAAAAGCTGGATGGAAACCAAGTTACCGAGTGCTTTGTAAGCAAATGTGAAGTTTTAAATTTTTCCCAAAGGCAATGGAAAAGTTACTGAATAGTTGTCTTCACTTGTGTTAAACAAGTATTGGTAAGAATTTGACAGTAGGTACTGTACTGGGCCAGGAAGTAATGGAGGAATGAGTAAGGTTTTGTAAAAGATGATTTACTTTCCATTTCCTCAGGGTTTCAACTTTAAACTGCTGATCTAAATCCTAAGTTATGCCTGCCAAGTCAATGTTTTACATTATGGTGTAAAGCTGGCATGACTTTTCCTCTTTGTATCTAAGTCATGGGCCAAAAGCTGTGGGTGAGGATCAGCACCTAATACGTCCTGGACACCCACACACCTTAAAGAAGAGAGGCGGGGCCTGCTGGACTCAGTGTATCTGAGCATCATGTCCGGCTCCTTGCAGAGGACTGCAAGATTCTGGCTGGGTTCTCCCTGTGTCAGGAAGCTGGAAGACCCATGAGTCAACAACTAGAAAGACAAGGAAGAAAGGTTTACACCTGGTGTTTTGACAGGAGCCTGATAACTGCCAGGACAGTACTTGGTAGGCACTCAGTCATAGACTCCTGGGAGTCATGTAGAATTGCAGTTTCTTAAGGGGTACCAATACATGGGCAGTGAGTAAGCAAAGAAGAAGTAGCTTCGCATATAAGCAAATCCAACAGCCAGAGAGAATGAAAGAAGCAGCTGTCTCAGAAGGCCAGGCAGATGACAATGGGGAAAAAAAAACCAACAACCAGCACACTGAAGTTGATGGAGTAACAGAACTGAAAATATTATTTATCATTTGAAAACTCTAAGTAAATGAATTAGGAGAGAGACACTACTGAGCCTGAGATTAGCAGGGCAAAATACGTAAGAAAAAATATAAAAAAGATTTTCAGATCTTCAAATAAGAAGAATTTCAGAAGGACAATAAAAAAACACTTGAACAATAAAAAGGATTAAAAGGATGAGAAAAACATAGTGGAATATAAAGTAGGACAGTATATCCTTTTAAGGAAGAATTGATTATAACTTTATTGAAAGGACTTACGAAGTTCTAGTCAAGGTGAAACAAAACTATTGCTTCTGTAAGACCTCTATATGCCAGGCATGATTCTAAGTGTTGACTGTATATGTAAACACACACACACACACACACACACACACACACACACTCGTTTAAATACCACAACAACTCTATGAGGTAGATTCTCTTATTATTCCCACTTTACAAGTTAAAAAAAACAAACAAACAAAAAAAACCAGAGCCATGGTTAAATTAATATCCCCAAAGTCATCCAGCTAATTAGTGAAGAAGTCAGGATTGAAACCCAGGCATTCCACCTTCGAAGACCATGATTTTAACTCTGATACTCTGCTGCTTGTCAACATGAAAGAATAACGCTTATTAATACCCAGAGACAGATAAAATACCATCCATGTACCGTATTAGAAGGAAATATTTCAGCAAGCCATCTAATCAGAAGGAAAAAAGAAAAGTCTGAAATATGAAGAGGAAAAGCACTGGTGAATATTAAAGCTGGCAATATTAAGTTCAGCTTAAATATTTAATGGCAGTGTGACTAGAAATGTGTTTTATTCTGCCAAAGATTATTTGAAATAGAGGAGACATATGGCAAAGGCAAAACAGACAAACAAACTAACCTCTAATAATTGTTTGGTGCTGAAATTACTAAAAGTTGAAGGAGAGGGAAAGATAAGTGATTTGAAAGTTTTCTAAAGGTATCAACTTAGTAGAGAAGGCGGTAGCGGAATGGATCACATTGGTGTCTTATTTTCATACAATAAATGGGCAAAAATGTTTTGTTTTAAATGATGTGAAATAGACATTAATTATTGATAGAATGAAAATGTTCCAAGAACATCCAAATTAACAAGGTGAAAAGAGAGACTAAATGGTCAAAATCAACAAAAATCATGAAAAGGAAGGAAAATAGTACAGTGAGATAGAAGAAGGTCAGTGAAAATGAAAAATTCTGTTCTGTTTTTCTTCCCCCAACTCATTTATATCTGGGAATAATTGAGAAGAAGCCAAGTGGAGAAAAACCTTAATTGTATAACCCTTTATTCATAGAGCTTTTAAAGTATACAACGTGGGTTCACATTAATTATCTTACTTCATTCTTGAAGTAGCCACTTGAGATAGTATTGTTTTCATCCCTGCTTTAGATGAAGTGGCCTAACTAGGGTCACACAGTAATTTAGTGATGGAACTGGCACTGGATGTAGTTTATTTCATTTAATGCCATTTTGTTAAACACCTATTATGCTCCAGGTGCTGTGCTATGCCGTTACGCACTAATAATAAGTAATAAGTAATAAGTAATGAGAATATGTAATAAGAAATGAACATGTCATTCACTCTTGCCATCCACTCATCTGGGCCTCCCGGACCCACGGTTAGAGTACAGAGTCTCTGCTTGAGTTGGACAGGTCAGGGAAGGACCAAGACCCAGAGAAGTGTCCTGTGGTGAGGTGGCTTCACATTAACTCGAATTTACAATTGGTCATTCCCATTGCAAATGTCCATCCCAATGTCTGTGTGATTCTAGATGACTAAGCACATCCCAGAGCACCGTTAGCAACCGTACGCTGGCTTGTTGTTCATCACCTATTTTGGGTACAGTAAACACACAAACACACCCCAAACATGGGGCAAAGTTTTTGCAGAATTAATACAAAAATGATTTCCCCAGATCTGGAGCATGACTGTGTCTCTTTGAAGAATGTGGTATCTTCAAATTCTGCAGAATAGAAGGTAAAGAGGTTACTCCACTTAGCCATAGAATTGTCATGAAGGTCCTGAGAATGGCTGCCAGAAAACTCTAACTCATCTTTTTCATCTCCTTTTCAATGATCAGATTAGTGTGAGACGAGATAGCAGAGTTCAGGGAGGCATACACAGGGCATTGCCAATCATTTCTGCCCCTTTCCCTTCTCCCTCAAATACTTACATAGAGCACTCATCACTGTCATTAGCTTTTCCAGCCACTCTGTCCCTACTCTCTATACCCAAATCCTAACCTGTATAAAAAGTTGGTATGTGCCAGCCCAGTATGAAATGAATTGTTTATAGCCAAAAGTTGGAGGAGTAGGAGCATGGGCAGGGTTTAATTAATGATGCCTGGCAAGTGAATTTTTATTTGGAGTAAAAGTATCTCTCCACAAGGCAAAAGTTACCTGCATTTTTAAGTGGCAATTAGTTAATTCAAAAGAATATAAGGTATTAGTTGAGCAAGATTAGCTTAGGATGTACTTGAGAACACGTGATCAGGCATATTTTACTAAGTGGTCTTAGGACATGATGCTATATCTCTGTATGAAACAGTGTGCTCAAGCTAGCAGAGACTGTGTCCTTCCCACCACTAAGGAATTTATACTCCAATGGAGGTAAACTGAACATATCACATCTGCTCACTTTTTAATGAAGTCTCTACATATTTTCAGACAAAAAAATGTTGAAACTGGAATAGAGAAAATTTTGAATATTCTTCCATTGTTTTTTTCTCCTTGTAGGTAGGAACAGGAAGGCAGCTGCTTGTAGAAAGTTAGAAGTATCTCACATTTAAGGAACTTAGAATTTCTATATGCTTCCCGATGATGTTCAAATTATATTTTGAATACTTTAGGTACTACTGTAAGCCAGTTTTCTTTCCTCTATCTTTGAATGAGATAAGATTATCTAATGAACGTCTTGTTTTACTCATCAGACAAGTTGTTACTTACTTCATGTGTCTTTCTTATCAGACTGTATAATTCAGTGAGGGCCAAGTCTGACTCTTTTGTCCTGATCTGTCCTCAGATCCCTGAGGCTAAGTCCTTAGAATATAGTAGATGCTCAGTAAATATATGTCTCTTGACGGATAGACTCACTGACTGGTTTAATAACTATTGGTAAAATATACTTATAATGAAGAAATTTATCCATTCTCTACATAAAATTTCCAACTCTTTAATGATTATTTAACAATTCAGTTCTTATTTAATTTCTCAGCTTGTTAGAAACTTTGACTTTTACTGATGATTATTTTTAAGTTACTGTCCCAAATCCATTCAAAAGAGTTAAATTTGAATTGCAAAAAGAGCATTTTTAGGAATTTAAAGTCACCACTATCTAGCACATCACTTCAAAATAACTTAAAGTTATTGTGGATGTTCCTTAAAATATGTTAATAAACTTAAGTAATGAATTTTTTACATAACAACCTATTCCTACACAGAGGCTATAGGTGTAAAATACTTATTTGGTTTTCTTTTCAGTGATTGAATGCATTCTGGGAATAAATATTTGGGGAAGGGGGAAAGATTCTTCATGATATTTAAAACTGGATATATGAACTGAACACTTGGAATTATTATTAAGAGTCACAGTAAAGAAAAGTTCCTCCAATTCTTAATTGCTGTATTTTTTTTGTTAAGTCTCTAACAATTAGCTGTCATCTCCTGTGCTTTATATGATTAACTCCAATTTGGATATACTTGGTCAAATGACATTTTGTTGACCAATAATAACTGTGGTTATCATTTAAATGTTTTATGTTCAGGGGTATTAAGAAGAAACTCACATAACATTCTGATTTCACACAGGAGGGACCTGCAAAAGTGAAAGCTTTCAAACAATTCTGAACGGCATTTATTTAACATGTCTGGTATTTTCCAAATGAAAAGGACAAACTGCATGCTGTGACACTAGAATTGATCGCAGAATTATTCTCTTAACATTGGTGGGGGAACATAATTTTCAAATGATCATCAAAGAATAATATGCTAAGTTCTTCCAAGTATAAAGCAAATTTGGCATCCTGAGGCTGTATGTTACATACTCTTATTTGTCTCCAATAAATGTGATTTCTGATGTAGAGAACTATTAATGCTTCAAATTGTTGCCAAACATAATATGAAGAACCACTTACTCAGACACCTGATCTTTAGAATGCAGCATCGTTTGTAACAATTTTAACGCTAACTAAGTACACTTTGATGAGACAGCATTTAATAAAATGCTCATTAATTTCATCATTAGCAAGGGTATGCTAAGAAGTAAGCCAGTTTCTTATGTCACGCCCAATTAGCATCCCATGCTAGTAATCCCATTAGTATTGTTGAATTCACTAATGGAAAAACTAATGGGCATGCTACCAGGGCACATTAATTGGGCACGACACCAGTTCTGGTTTTAATTATTAAACTACGATAATGAAATGTGTGTTTGTAAAATATTAAAATGTTGAAATAGGATTGAAGAAAATAAAAGAGTAGGTAGAGGAAAGAGATATAAAGAAAGTCAACCTACAAAAATTCAAGGATTAGAAAATGGATTTACCAAATGGTCATCCTTCTAGCTGATCGAGTTGTCTGTAAAAGTTGGGATATTGTCCACATGAGGAGCAACACACCCATCCTCATGGGAAATTAAAAGCTGTTTTTTGGTAATATGAATTTCTGTATGTCATACATGTTGTCATGCTCTGTATGAGGCTTGACAGGAGCCAATTAAATGTGTAGAATGGACATGTTACATCGCTGAAGCTATGTTAGGGAAATATAAACAGAATTGTTTTACTTAAGGTGATATGACTCACGCCCTTTTTGTGATATAAATCTTCAGTTATATCAGGTAATTATCACTTTTATCTTTTTGAAAAATGGTGTTCCAAAATTATGGGAGTTTGGTGAAATATTCCAACAAATTTTTAAAAAATTATAATATTTTACCCAGTCTTTTTTTTTAAATTTTTATTGTATTGAAGTTAATTATTGGTAAGAAAATCAGAAATTAAGAAAGAAATGTATTTTCACTTAGAAGGTTTGGAGTACTTTTCTGGTGGTTTTTTCTTTAACAGTAGTAGTAGTAACTGATGATGGTGATGAAGTTGAAATATTTTATACTTTTATTTGTCCACTAACACTAAAAAAGGTAACATTGTGCTGAACCTGATAGGCTGAAAACGTTTTTACTTGGCTAGAAAATACTCAGATGGAAGGTTTCTCTTCTACTTCTCTTTCTCTGTTTCCTTATCCTCCCCTCCTTCCTGCTCATTTCTGTTCTTGAGGTCTGCCATTTCCTACTCTTACCTGCTTAGGAATTCATTTTTGTCTATGATGCGATGGTCTCAGATACAAGTATAAATGCTAGATTTTAGACTAAAGAGCATGGAGTACAAAGTTTAACTGCCTTAATAATAGTCAATGTATTCATCATAAGTGGCTAATTTTTAATATGACTCTCATTCTTTCTACTGATTAGCAGTGTAGTGAAGGTAAGAGAAACTAAGTTGCTAGACATTTCCCCATCTTTAGAACAATCCAGATTCAATAGTATGTTATTAGTTTTAAATTCTTATTTCATATTTCTACCAAAATCTTAAAAGTTATAATTTTAGAATAGAAAATTCTTTACCTTTCTGATGGCTATAAGTGCTCAAAATGCAAGTGTGCTTGTAAGAGATTTTTTATTCCAAAGAGAAGATCTTTTCAGGCTTGAGTACTATTGTGTTTGCGGAAGGACGTCAGAGACATGCTAGAATGATGTTAGGCATCAACTTTAATGTTGAGTTTGGTTTGAAAAGCATGCATGCTTCCATCGTGATCATGTCAAAATTTATAATTGATTTCTAGCAAATATAGAATTATATGCAATGACTTTACAAACATATATAGTCATTCATTCATTCATTCATTCATTCCCTCAAGGGGTCTTCAGTGGAAGTTACTACAACTAATGATGGTGGAAAACAATACCATGATGACAAATGGCATGAGATAATAGCTATTAGGCATCAGGCTTTTGGCCAAATCACACTCGATGGGCAGTATACAGGTAAGAATAAGATATATAAATAGTTCTATAGCTATGCTAATGTGGCTATACTTTTCTGTTGATTATATTTCTATATCTTTCATTTCACCTTTATCTCCTCTCAATTTCATCTGCATTGCTGTTGGATTTGCCTTTGGGTTGCTCCTAAAATGATGAAGTCTGGCAACCATTTTCTCATTATGCACAGTTTCAGTAAAGCAAGAGAAACAGCAGAGTCATCAGCAGCAATTTTTTCTTTTACAATTTGCAAGGGCTTATACTGATGTTCTCTCATGTTATTTTTGACCCACAAAAGACAAATAAAATAAAGCAGTTATTATATGCATTTTAGAAATGATGAAACTGAGTCTCAGGAAAGGTAAATAACTTTTCCCAATTTGCACAGTTGATAGTGTTCTTGGGATGCTGATCCTGTCTTTGTAATTTGAAGTTCAGTATTCTTTCCATCCTACCCTCTCTACTGTCTTTATATAATTATAAAACAGTCACAGTACCTGCATGATGATTCAAGCTTTTATTAATATGCTCAGGAAATATAGAATTATAATGCACACCTACCGTATGACAGTATTGCTCTAGAAACTCTGGATACAAAGAGCAAGAGTTACATTTCAGGTGGGAGAGGGGCAGGAGGCAGAATAAATAAATGTTGAACAAGATTAAGTAGTGGTATATTTTGAAAATAATAAAGCAGGAGAAAAGAGAAATTGTGTTATGTGTGTGTGTATTGTGGAGGGAATGTTTTGATCTCATAAGGGACTGTTAGAAAAGCCCTCTTAGATAAGGTGACATTTGAACAGAGACCTAAGGAGAGTAACATGTTTCAAGCCAAGGGAGTAGTGGGTGCCAGGGTCCTGAGGTGGGAACATATATATATAAGGCATGTCAAGGACCAACAAAGAGGCCAGTGTGGGAAAGAGTGGGTGGAGGGCCTAGTAATAGGCAGAAATCAGAGAGGCTTTTAGGGCTGTATTACATAGGATCTTGTGGGCTTTTGCTTAGAAAAAAGGAAGCTCTTTGGAAATGAATTTTAAGGGGAACAGGATGGAAATGGGGGAGTACAGTCAATAAATTTCTATAATAATTATAAAATAATTCAGCAAGAAAACAGTCTCTTGAACCAGGGAAGTAAAATTGTGGTTATAATGAGAAATCTGGGTATACAGTAAATATTAAATTTAATTTAACATTTGATTCAAGTAGAACAGGGGTTGGCAAACTACCTATGGGCCATATCCATCTCATCACTGTTTTTATAAAGTTTTACTGGAGCACAATTGTATCCATTTGTTATGTATTGTCTGTTCCATTTGAAGCTGCATTGTTTACAAAGCCTGAAATATATACTACCTGGCCCTTTACAGAAAGAGTTTGTTAATTCCTAATATAGACCATGACTGCTAAGTTTAGGGTCTGGGCACCTGGAAAACCATAGTTGCCATAGCCATAGCTAAGTTGCCATAGCTAAGGTTGACAAGACCATGGGAGAAGCTGATATGGAGAGAGATGTTCAGTCTGAAGGCATTCAGTCTTAATATCTGTGAGGCATCCACATGGAAATATCAGGTAGGGTTCTGGATTCAACTCTTAGTTCAGGGAAGATTTCCAAACTAAAGATACACAATGGGAATTGTCAGCTAAGGATGGTGTTTAACACCAAGGGACCAGATGTAAGTAGAGCTATTTAGAGTGGTTTGGGTTCTGGGGTGGGGGGGAAGATCCTACTCCCAAGAAAATATGGAGTCAGATAGAAGTCTTAACAGGAGACTTGCATTGTTATACAACATAGCCAGGGACCCAGGCCTCTTCTGGTCTTTCACCTGGTCATTTGCGTAGGTGCTCAGCCCTCTACGTCATCCCTCCAGAGGACTTAGGACATCCGTGTATGTGGAGAAAGAGATCTGAGGGGGGAGACAGCCTGGTCCTTCCAACATCAAGATGTCGGGACGTGAGGAAAAACCACTGAAGAAACATAAAAAAGAGGAGAACCAAGAAAGAGTGGTGTCCAGGGCTCAGTGAAGGGTTTAAGCATTTATTGAATTAGTAGAACCCAGATTATCCTGGTACACCTGGAATTCTCATCTCCTTTTCCATAGGTTCTTTGACTGCCCTGAATGGGAGCACGATTATTGGAGGGAACACGGGAGTATTTGTGGGAGGGCTTCCACGGGGTTATACCATCCTCAGAAAGGATCCTGGTAAGTTTGCTGATGGTATAGGATTTATATGTTGTCACCAAAATTTACAACACGATCAAGTATGAGTACATTATTTTAAAGTATGAATATTAGTATTATATTCTATTTCATGCTGTATTTCTTTTATCAGTATGTCAAAAAAGTCCCTTAGGTGTCTTCTTTTCTAAAGCAACTGTGTATTACTTGCATTTCAATTCTTGGTGCCAGTCATCGACATATAAAAGAGTTTATTAAACTTTTGCTGAAATGAATGCTACTAATTTCAGTCAAAGGTATCTTATTTTAAGATTATGTATCAGTTTTTCAAAGATTTTAAACTGAAGCAACACAGAAATGTTAAACTGTGGACTTGATTTATCCTCTAAGTAGGGTAAAGAACATTCCCTGAGTATTGAGCATGTGATCAGTGCTAAACTAGTCCCTAGATGTCCATAGATGAATAAAATGTGGTCTTTGCCAGAATAGAGGGCATATTATAGAGGGTATATAATGCTGAGCAAATGCTGTAAGTGCTATAATTGAGACAGAGACAAAATAATTCCTATATTTTTAGAATGAGAGAACAAAAACTGATTCAAAATGAAATCAATAAAAAACTAACCTGGATGAAATTAACCTGAAGCAGTAGAAAAAAAATCACCTTTCCAAATGCATTGCTAAGATTTTAGGGTTGTTTTCCCATGTTCTCACTGAAGGGCATGGGGTGTCTTCCAAGTCTCTCCCAGGAAGTAAAATGTAACTACATAAATATTACAAATGAGCTAGAGCCTAAGTAAGTATACATTGTGCTTGTGTGGTTGTCTTCAAGGAATCATGATGAAGATCAAAAGGAATAAAATGTTTTCAGTGAAATTTGGAGAGGGATATATTTAAATACCCAAGACAGAATTATAGGTTCCTCCTTAGAAATATTTCTAGAGAGGGTTTTTACTGGACTAGTTTAGATTGGTAAAGAAGTCCCTTAAAAACTCTCTCTCTCTCTCTTCCTCTCTCTCTCTCTCTCACACACACACACGAGAGAGAGAGAGAGAGAGAGAGGGAGAGATCAAGCTCTCTCCAGCCTTTGTCCTTGTTCCTTCCCCATTATTATACCTGGCTATGGTATATCCATGCACTGGAAGGAGGGAGAATGCCCTGATAGCAGGACCCTTCTTGTAGAGGACATATCTTCATAATCAATAAATAATCTGACATTGTGCATATAAAATGACTTTGTAGAACTTTGACTGCTCGTGAATACCTTCCCTAGAATCAAGTCATATACTCCAAAGCTGAGAACTAAGCTTTGCATTGATCAACAGGGACAATGCTGTACGAAATGTTTCTCTTTCTCTAATTCTCTCATTTGCTCACTTTCTTTCTTTCCCAACCTGCTGTTATCACTTGTGTGCTGTGTTCATAAATCCCACATCCGCCTGATCCAGGGTGTCCTAAGATTCAGGTCAATAATACATCAATTCCTAAATATGAAAACAAATCATGGACTTAACTTGTATAACAGAATGGTTCATCATGATGAAGAAACCAAACTACAAACTGTAGATTTAATAGAAACACTTCCTTCAAATCTTTTAAAACTTGTTATAACACTTTTATTTTTAAGACTAGTGGCAGATGAAATCTCGTTAGTTCAGAAGGCAATATTCTGGCTACTACTATAAAACCAAAGTTTTTGCATAAACATCTGTTTCTACAGATATGATGGGTCGGAATTGGGGCTAAACATTGTAATTGTTACCACTTAGCATAGGTTATGGCATGGTCTTTACGTGAATCATTAGGAGGTTTGCAGTAAATAGGTAGCGAGAGCGATTTCTTATTTCTTTTATTTTAATAGCATGTAAAATTAATTGCTTGAAAAAAATGTTCAAAGTACATCAACCAGCTCTTGATATCTACCAACTCTTATAGACATAATCCAAAAGGGTTTTGTGGGCTGTGTCAAGGATATGTATTTTATGAAGAAGTATAACCCCTTTGCTGTTTGGGAGCCTCTGGTTTGGCAAAATGCTGAAGAACAGGTCAACGTGTATGATACCTGGGAGGGATGCCCCACTGCATTACAGGACGGAGCCCAGTTCCTAGGAACAGGTAAGGTTCTAAAACAGACACCAGTAGTTGCTTAACATATATGTTATATTCTTCGCCCAATTTAATCTCCCCTATCCAATTACTTCAACCTCATATGAACCTAGTATCACAGAAATACATAGTTATGCCATGATATACATAAATATATTCTCAAAGTCTGAATATGTAAAATGAGTTGTAAGACTCATATATTCATGTATCAGATCTCTGTTAGCCCACGGCAGTTCTTGGCTGACATATGGTAGTGTCAAAAATATCTTTTGGTAAGTCAATTGTTTTACTTAGACTGCAGTTTTACTTAGAAAGATGTTTCAAAAGGATTTTATTTACCAGAAAGATGTTTCAACAGGATTTTATTTATTTATCCCATTATATAGTTGGACAGTATTCTCAAGAGTAAAATTCAGCTAGGTAATGGGGTGAGTAGACCATTAAGGGAGAGCAGGGAGATGTCACCACCACTACCGCCATTGCTCCTAAGCTTGCTGTAAAGGCAAGGGGCAGTGTCCCTGGCAGACCTCCCCAGCCACAGTCTCTGCCTGGTGGGCACCCTGGGTGAGGGGGCGGAAGGGAGTACGGTGACTTGGCGGGTAGTACTACTTCTCCTAATGCAAGCCCACCGCTGCCTCCTACATTTATAGCTAAACTGGCTCTTTATTAAGTTGCTTAAACCACCTTCCGAACAGAAAGCTAAAGAATATCCTAGTCTATGTACTTTCCCTTTGCTCCCTTCTCAACACTGTCATTACTCTGAATTTCTCTTAGTCAATGCAGTTTCTTATTGTGAATACTGATAGAAAACAGTGATAGTATTAATTGTATCCATGATTTAGAGAGTAAATTGCTTCCTCTTAAAATGTATGTCAAGTTCACTCTGCCACTTCTGTACAATTACAAGGGGGATTTCTTACCATCGATTTGCATCTTCTTCTGCAAAGATTTGCTCGATGACAGTGTGCGTCCTAGTCTTTGTACCACCTTTACGATGTGGGCGGTAGTGCTTTGCATGTGCTGATGTGTACATATTCTTTTCTTTAAAGGATTCCTGGAACTTTATCCGTATGTGTTTCATGGTGGAATGGATTTTGAGATTTCCTTTAAGTTCAGAACTGACCAATTGAATGGATTGCTTCTTTTCATGTACAACAAAGATGGGCCTGATTTTCTTGCTGTATGTTAATTTATTTAGTTAAATTTACTTTAAAATGTCAGCTATAACTTTAAAATAAATAAGCCATGTGTTTATATTATGCTAAATTGGGATTTCTTTTGAAATTCACTTTTGTTTTCATTTTCTTCCCTAAGTCATCTTTAGTTTCAGAGTCCTGTGAAACATTTTGTGCTTTAGGATCGTGATGTTTTAAAATGACAATTATTCCTGTGAAAATTGAATTTTAGCAAAACAGAGTAGTTACAAGGAATTAAGAAAATTCCATTTAGGGGCGCCTGGGTGGCTCAGTGGATTAAGCTTCTGCCTTCGGCTCAGGTCATGATCTCAGGGTCCTGGGATGGAGCCCCAAATCTGGCTCTCTGCTCAGCGGGGAGCCTGCTTCCCTCTCTTTCTCTGCCTGCCTCTCTGCCTACTTGTGATCTCTCTCCGTCAAATAAATAAATAAAATTTTTAAAAAAGGAAAATTCCATTTAGTTTTCCAATATTCAAAAAATGTTATTTCCTTCATTATTTTTTGACATAATATAAAATCTTAAATCTCCAAATATAACCTCATAACTTTTCAGCTCTCATTCTCTTACCGAATTCATTAAGACATTGAGACCATTGGCTATCAGACCACTTTCTGTTTAACTGACTCGCTCCCTACCTCAGACACCATAATGCAGCTTTTCTTGTTTTGTTTGTTAATTTAATTTAATTTAATTTAATTTTTTCAGTGTTCCAAGATTCATGCACCACACCTAGTGCTCCATGCAATTCGTGCCCTCCTTAATATCCACCACCAGGCTCACCCATCCCCCCACCTGTCTCCCCTCCAGTTTTTCAATCATTTTTCTGTCAACACCCTCAACTTTATCTTCAGTTCCACAACTCTGGGTCAATCAGTCTAGCTCCTTAGCTTTTCAGTTTCAACATCTGGTTTACTGACCACCATAGCAGAACTGATACAAGTATAAAGACTATTGACACGTGGCATTTTGAGGTTTCTGATTGCTTCATTCAACAGTCCTTCTTGTTTATAGGATTTGTGCATCAATTAGATGTGGAACATGAAAGAAAAAAGATGTCAGCTCCGGAAAACACCACAACCTGAAGGTCTTCAGATAGTTTTATTCTTAGAATGGAAAGGAACATAATCTCCTCATCTTCCAAACTCTCGACCTACAGCTTTTTTTACGAGCCAAGTCTGGTTTCACTCTCTCCTGACTCAGGAGAATAAATACCTAATTATCATGCTTCCAACCAAAGTTAATATTCTCTATTTTTACTCTAGATTCTACCCTTCTCCTGCAAGAGCTTGTGCTGCAAAATTTCCCCTTTTTGTTACTTCCAGTGTTCCTTCTCTATTGGCTCTTCTCCCTCAACATATAAAATGGTTGAGCCTCATTTATTTTAATTTTTTTTTCCTTTTGACTTTGAAAATTCTTCCTTTGTACTTCCCTTCCTTTCATAGTCTTTGGTTATTTCCACTTTTTTTTTATATCCCACTTCAGTCCTCAAAACTAGTGTACGTTATGATTCCTACTCAGCACATTCCACTGCAGAACTTTCTAATGTTGCCAGTGACCCCTGCATTTTCTAGCTAATAGATAATTTTCTGCCCTTATCTTTCTTGATCTTCCTCTATCATCTGCTTTTTTTCTTAAAATATTCTTTCCTACTGACTTTCCAAAGTACTAGTTGCTCTTGATTTTCATTAAATCCTTATGGTTTCTACAAGAAGATCATTGTCAACTTAAAGAATTACATCTATTCTACCTTCTCTTAAAACGCTGGTCTGGCTGAGGACTCTAGACTCTCTCTCCTTCTCTTTTCACTGCTTTTACACTAACTAGATAATCTCATTTATCTTCCCATGAACGGTTTCTATTTTACTGGCCTATATTTATGTTCAATTGCCTCAAAAAAGTTTCTTCTAGATGTTTTATGGACATCTCAAACTCAGTATATTTAAAATTGACCTCATTCCTCTCTAACGATGATAATATCAAGTCTTTCTTTCCTAGTGCTTTCCCTATTGTGACAGTGGTAAAACACACCCAAGCAAGAAGAGCATGGGTGTCCTTGATTTCCTTTTTATTCATCTAACACATTCAGCTATTTGTCAGATCCTGCTGAGGCTTTACAAGTTGAGTTGCTTTCAAAAATACCTCTTTGACTGAATTTTAACTGTCTTCACCGTTGTTACCTGTATTTCAGTGATTCTCAATTTTTTTCATAAATGTAGTGAGTCCCTAATAGGTTTCTCCAGTTCCAGTGCAGCTTTTGTTTCAGGATGAACTTACTAGGACTGGTAGGGTAAACTTTCAGCATAAGATAATAGTGGAAAGAATTTAGCTTTTGAGGTCAGACAGACAAGAGAAAGACGTACATTTTTCCATATCACTCAAAACCCTCCAAAACCTTGCTTCTACATACCTGGGGGACTCTTTCTAACCCCCCCCCCACCATATGTATCCCATCTTACCTAATTTAGGTTTTTTTTTTCCTACACCTAATTAGCTTGTACATGTCCCGATGACACTGCGTGTGTTCATCTTCCTGTACTGAAGAATTCTCCATAAACCTTACATACTTCCAAAAGTCTTAATTTCAACCTTTCCCAGCTTCCAGGGAACACAATATATATCCTTTCTTTGCTTCTTCTCTTGGTTATGGTATCCTTGTACCTGGTCCTTCTCTCTTGGTTATAGTATTACCCCAGTTGTTTGCCTCTGTTGTTGAACAGTGTGATTCTTGGGAACAGTGTTTATCTAATAGCAAGAGACTCATGGAACATGGTGGGGGGCTCAATATTTATTGAAAAAATAGATATATGACTGCTTATCCAATGTACTTCACAAAAAAATGATATTTATGTAGAAAAAGTAATAATTTTTATCTACAATTACTTAATTTCATTTGACATGATTGATCTCAAATTTTTAAGTATCCTATTTTTGCTAGCTTGAGTTCTAACAAAATAAAAACATAGTAGATAAGATAATTGTCATGTAACATTTTGAAGGGAAACATATGGAGGCATTTTCTTTACCAATAAAATCTGGGTAAAATCTATTCATATTAGAAAATGACACGTTAATCTAAAAGAATACACATAGAAGCAATTATGTTAGTTAGAGATTTAGAATAATAAAACTGAAATATTGAATCAAAATCCATCTTACAAATTTGAAATTGAGTTCACCGACCAGTTAAAATAAACTTAATCAGGCTTGACATTTCATTTTCTTATTGTCTTGTCATATTTTTCCCCAAATTAAATTGATATATGAAGTAGTATTTTCTCATTTTCTAAAAACTCAAGTAAAAATAGAGTCATGGGGCGCCTGGGTGGCTCAGTGGGTTAAAGCCTCTGCCTTCAGCTCAGGTCATGATCCCAGGGTCCTGGGATTGAGCCCCACGTTGGGCTCTCTGCTCGGCAGGGAGCCTGCTTCCCCACCACCCCCTCTCTGCCTGCCTCTCTGCCTACTTGTGATCTCTGTCTGTCAAATAAATAAATAAAATCTTTAAAAAAAAGTAGAGTCATAGTTCAAACTATTCTCTTCAGTCATGCAGTTACTTATGCCAGCGTTTAAACGTTTACCTGTTTAGCACACTCAAAAACAAATAAATAAAAGTTTTCGCCTACATTATATTGTATCACACTGTATAATCATTACTGGGTATGAATTTGTGTGACTCAATACAACATTCTTCACGTCAATTATAAGCTTGCAAAGTACTCCATTATACGTTACTCCAGTCCTGCTTAGAATAAAGTGGAACGTTTTTATAGAGTGCTTTCAGGGAAATTTGTTGCTTTTCTTCAAGAAATTGACCTTCTGCTCTCTCCCAAACTGCCATTCTGCAGTCTTTTTATATACCTATTTTCTTTTTTAATGTGAAATACAGATGGAATTGAAGAGTGGAATATTGAGCTTCCGGTTAAATACCAGTCTTTCCTTCACACAAGTGGATCTATGGCTCGGACTGTCCTATTGTGATGGAAAGTGGAATAAAGTGATTATTAAAAAGAAAGGTTCCATCATATCAGCAAGCATGAATGAACTGAGGGAACGTGGGTCACAGTCCAGAGCCCAGCCACTGATGGTCAATTCCCCCATCTATGTGGGAGGAACCCCACAGGAGCTGCAGGACTCCTATAAACGCCTGAATTTGGAACAAGGTAAAGTCCATCTGGAGGAATCCCCAAATAAATACAGCTTTGGTCCTACCAGGTTTTAGTGGTTTTTGTGTTTTAAAATACAGCAACAGAATCAGTTTGGAAGCAATACCTATTGCCCCCCTCCCTTTTCTTGAAACTCTTAAAAAAAAAAAAAAATCAGAATGTTTCTTCAAATAGTTTTCCATGTTGCCCTTAAGACTGAGCCCTCACACCTACTTATAATCAATATACTTATTCTAACTTGTCTCCAGTAAATATAATTGAAATTTATGTATATATTTCCTCATACATTTTCTGGTTCTTTCAGATACTGATCATTATCTGTATTCACACATGAAAAACATAATTTAGGTTGGTGTGCACAGCTAAGAAAAATAGCATTAAATTCACTGGGAATTTTTTCTAACATAACTGCTAATTGTCTCTGCATTTCCATGGAGCTCCCCTATAGCAAAGCACATGAAAGGGTGGGTTTAGTTGAATTTTAAACATACTGGTGAAAAATCTATACTTCATTTATTATTAATAACCACAAATGAAAGAAAAAGTGTATGCCTGCATGACTTATAACTAAAGGAAGCGTTTAACTCATATAATGAATTTGAACAAAATCAGAGAAATTATTAATTCAAAAAGGCTAACAGTAGCTGACGGTCTGGTGTGTGCAGAATTCATGGTTCTGAGAGCTTTGCACGAGATTAAGTGGATCAGCGCTTCATAACAAGCCCCTATGTTCCATATTATTATTTAAACCCCCATTTTACAGATGAGGAAACTGAAGAGCAAAGTAACCTCCCCAAGGTCACATGGCCAGTAAGCAGAGAGCAAGCCTTTCTGTCTCAGGAAGCCTGGTGTCAAAAATCCCCTCTCTTTATTATAATCAAGTGTTTTCTTTTATGGCCGTTGGCCAGTGTTCCTTTTCTACAAATTGGGGAAAGCACAGAAATATCTAGCTTGTGACTAGGCATGCTCCCATGTAGAAAATGTTCTCTACATATTTCCAACTCTATGTACTGCTAATGGTTAAAATTTCCATGAAGGAGTCTTTGCCTATTTGGTAAGTACATAAAGATTTAAATGCCTTTGAATAGAAAATATATGGCAAGCTCTAAGGAGACTTTTAGAAGGGTACTAGTAAGGAGTTAATGAATGTCTGGGGTGTAAGACAGTAATGACATTTTCAAGGCACTTAAGATGTAACAGCAGCTAAAAATATTACATTCATATAAGGGCTTCTCCTGGTTTTCAGGTTTCTGAGGTTAGAAAGAGCTTGAAAACCCTTTATATGAGCAAGATTACTTGAGCCTACTTACATCTAGGAAAAAATCCCCTGCATATGTGCAATTATACTTTGGAAAGTACACAAAAACCCATTATGATGATGGGCATAGAGACTTGTCTTTAGCCAAATTTTAACTGAAATTATAAGACGATCATGATAGAAGTTTAACACATCAACATAAACCCATCGGAGATAATTTAATCTACACTATGACTACGTCTATGGTACTGAAAGATATTTTATTTATGGGTAATACTAAATTTTTATCCTTGCAGTATCATACATATCAGTGGTTCTCAAGCCACTGATAAAATATTGACGTACAGTAGCAGGAACATAGTAAGAACTCAATAAAATGAGCTGTCATTCTTATTGCTATTCAAGATACATTGGAATCTCCTGGAAAGATCATTAAAAATGCAGATTTTATGACCCTATTCCCTAAGATTCTGACTCAGATGCTTTGAAAGATACTAATCTCTATAGGTAACCATGTTTTATACAATGAGCAGGAGAATATTCACCATATGGGGGTGCTGCCTGTCTGTAGTAAATTGCAATTAAAATTAATCATGTTCAACTACTGTATTTTTTTTTTTCAGTCCACTCTCAAATGGTCTTAAAAATGTTCTGTGCTTCTTAATTAGCACCTTTTCTAAGAGGCTCTACTGTGTGGTCATATTAGTGCTGTTTTTTTCATATCCGTTAATGTTGTAATCTTCCTTTGAATCAAATGCAAATTAACTTTCCTCTGTAGTTTGGAAATGCTGGGCAACCTAATTTGCTAAAGACATGTCACCTCAGATCATGGGCATTTACCTTAGAACTACCAGTCTGGATTATCACTTACCTTCAGGTTGGGGGTAAAAGGGTTGTGGCTCATGGGATCGCAGATTTTGCTCTGACCCATGCCCTGTGTGGAGAAGGAAGGAGTAGGGGCTGGAAGCCAGCCTTCATACCACCAGTGCCACCATGTTGGACTGCCTCCCCCAGAGGGCTACTGTCTTTCTAATTTGTCAACTTAGAATTCTGGGCCACTTTTTAGTTATTCAGAGGCCTACGGGTGGGGGGTCATTTTTGATTCTCAAAAGCAAGCAAAGGACACATCTCTATTTCCCCCATAGACAGGCTCTTTCCCCTTTTCCTATTCTAATACCACATTCAAATTTTGAAGATAGTTGAAGAGTATTTCTGGTGGAGATGATCCTGGTGGGGCAGAGTTGAAAGAACGGTGACTTGGTTGGACAAAACTGTCTGCTTTAAGATCACACAGAGAGGACCACCCACTAGAGCTCAGGATTCTTCACCTCCAAGGCCTGAGGCCAGAGTACCACTTCGTAAGGAGGATTAATACTTAGAAACCTTATCTGATGACCCTCTGGACCTTTTTTTTAATCTCCAGAATGAAGACTACTTCTGCGGCCTTTCCCAAATTTAAAATTCCATCCCATGAATTAGTTTTTAAGACATTTCTTTTTTTTTTTTTCATTTTTTGAATTGTGGCGAAATATACGTAAAATTGACCATCTTAGCCATGAAGGGTACAGTTCAGTGGCATTAAAGATATTTACGTTGCTGGGTAACCATCAACACCATCCAGCTCCAGAACTCTTTCCATCTTGCAAAGCTGAAGCCCCCCTTTAAATAATAATGGGACTTTTCTTGTAACAGCGCTCAGGTGTTTGCCAAAGCTACCATTCCACTGTTTGCGTTTTGTTGTTAGGGAAAGTGGGGTAGAGAGAAGTTAGATAACTGAACTCCAAGCCATCGGAAAATTGCTGCTGGTAAAGAAATCAGAATTCTTAACTTCTGAAGTTTCAAGCAGATGCTTTTATATTGAGCTTCATTGCCTTTATTTCAACTCAACCAACTTATTGAGCGTCTACTGTGTGTTCAAGACAGACGAGCAGGATCGATCAGTCAGGCCTGGAGGCATGTGAATGCTAGCAAAGACATTCTGAAAGGAACTAGGCCAACTTAATGTGTTAGAAGACATAATAAAACATCATATAAATGCTGAAGAGAACAATATGATCGTTGTTACTATTAGTTTATTTTACTGTTAGGCATTGCATTATGTTTTATTTTCTGTTCCTGCTGATGTGCTTTAATCTTGAAAGGAGTGAAGCGTGTGTTTGGGACCCTTCAAACTTGACAGTATTTTGTTCTGAGAGAGCGTGAGTGTGCATGCTATCGCAAACTCTGTCTCTTCTTTGACAATTTTGTGCAGTGTTCTGGGCAGAGTGCTGCCAACCCTCATTGAGCTGATCTCTGTTTACACAAAATAGCATGGAATTCAGAGTCGCTGCTACGTGCTGGCGGACTGGATGCCCTCTGGTCCTCTAACAAAAGAGCAGTCCATTCTCCTGACCCATTTCTGCCACGTTCCCTGGTAAACTTCCCAGAACTCCACTGCACTGTAGCCGTTCTAAAGTCAACTGGGCAGAATACACATTCCGAGAAACCTCCGGGTGTTGCCATTGCCAGAGCTGAATTTGTTCTCTGTCATGCTCCTGTGAGCACAAAACTGGTGACCATTGTGGAGAGTCAAAATTGTGGAACTCAGTGAAAATGGTGGCGTGTAGTGATAGCTCCTCTGTATGCTGATTTAGCTGGGACTTCGTTCTATAACTCTGAAACAATTCTGTAGAGTTCATGTCAATACCCCAGGATTCCAGTATATTTTGAAACTACATTCTCCCTCCTGCTCTCTTGCATGATAATCTTCAAGAGGTATTTTTCCCCCCAGTGAGCTTGTTGTATAATTGTGCTCCTTCAAATCTTATTTTTAGCATTAAAACAATGACTTATATAGGGGGACTGAATTTTCCAGAATCAAGGGACATGTGGCTACCCCTCTACCATATGGTCTAATTGCCTTCATTTTATTTCATAAGAATAAGCAGAAGGAGCAAAAGTGGGCCTAAAGGAGTATAATAAATACTTTTAATACATCTAATCCAGCTGAATTATTATGATCACCTTATATATTTTTTCAAGATAACACAAATCTAATACGTCCTTGTGACCACTTAGCCTGGTAAAAAGCAGGAGACATAAAGGATTTCCCAAATGAGACTCAGAAATTTAAAAATTGTCTCTATTGCAACCCCCGCACCTCGTCAAAGCGTAGTACAGCTGAGGACAGAGATGATTGGTAATTGATGACTCAAGCCTTTTATGTGATATTAATCCCTTACTATTTGCTAGGTTTCGGTGGTTGCATGAAGGATGTTAAATTTGCACGGGGTGCTGTCGTTAACTTGGCATCTGTGTCCAGCAGCGCTGTCAGAGTCAATCTGGATGGGTGCCTGTCAAGTGACAGTACCATTAACTGCAGGGGAAATGACTCCATCCTGGTTTACCGGGGGAAAGAGCGCAGTGTTGACGAGAGTGGTCTGCAGCCTTTCACAGGTACCGTGGAGGTGCTCTCAGTTAAATGTTACACGTGTCCCACTTGTCGCCTCTTCCCTCCCTGCCAGCCCACTGCTAGTCCATATGAGTAATATTTTAATCTTTCTGCCTCTTATTTCCATTCAAGAGTACCTGTACCGAGTGGTAGCCTCACACGAAGGAGGCTCTGTCTACAGTGACTGGAGTCGGGGCCGTTCAACAGGAGCAGGTAAATGGTCTTGAAACAGATACGTGTACATGTATGTGCACATGTCTGTGCGTACATGTCCATACACGTAAGAAGAAGAAAAGACTCTATTATCCTGAAGCAAGTGGTGGGTTTGTCGTCATAGGACAGAGCATGCATTGATTGGTGAAGGTCAGTGGCTAAAATGCTGAGGAGGTCAGTATTTTCATTTCTCAATTATTTAGTCAGTGTTTGCTCGGGCTTGATTCTTTCCTCTTCAAATGCGGAAGGAAGGAGTTTCAAGTTGTCTCAAGGATTTGGTAGGCCTGAATCTATAGTAATATATCTAAGGACAGGAAACCCTTCTAGATGGTGTAGAACCCAAGAAGCTAACGTCAGGCTTGATTAGCCCTGGGCTGGGGCAGCACCCTCTTGCATCTCTCTTGCAGAGGGTACATTTGGAACCGGATGTACCGGTTCAGAAGCAGATGTGTCTTTTATCACTTCGTGGCGATGTTTTTCATGGTGGTGACTATTAGGATCTTCAGATGACTCTCCCAGGATAGAAACTGCTGACTGGTCTCAACCTTCTTGAGTTGGAGGGGGAAAACAGCAGGAGATCGAATATATTAGACTGAATCTCACACAACAGCTTTATAGGTGCTCTGGACTTCTCACTGCGACCACAACATCTTTTCACGTGGTGCCATCACAAGAAGGTATTCATCATGAAAAGTTTTGTGAATCAGTAGCCTTTTACCTTTTGGGGTCAAATATCAGACAGGTAGTCAAATACGTTTCAAAAGACTGCCACGTACGTCTCTCAAAGGAAGTTTATCCTTAATAAGTCATAGTTTGTCTAAACGTGTATTTTTCACCAAGATATTCTCTCATACTTATTAACCAGGGGCTACTAACACAGACAACTTTTTGAGAAATCTTCTTGATCTAAGATAATTAAATGCCGGAATGGCTACTAAGAATAATTTTCAAAGCGCTTTGCCTACAGATTTTCCAGAAGAGGACAACCTGACACTTTTCCAGGATGATTTAAATTGTCATCTATTTATAGGCAAGACAATGAGCCGAAAGGTCTTTTAAAATCCTTTTCAACCTCAGAGCTTGGAGAAAGCTGTGACATAAAATATTCATTTGTTACTGGCATATCCTCTGCCCCTTTTTCGCCTCCTCTACTTCATTAACAAATACGCTCTAAAGCCTGTTTTCAGTCTGTCAGCAAGGTGAATGGGTGTCTAGAAAGTGCGTTGCCCACATAGCTTAATAGTCCCCATTTTGAGTATCACTGTGAAAGTATGCAAATAGAGCTCTGAATTTATAGCAATGATCTGACCACAAAGTCTTATGCCATAAATTCATATTTACAATCTGACCACAACACTGAGCAGCTACATGCTCCCAAGGGTTGGAGAATAATTGCACTATTTAATTATTTTTGAGTCAGTTTTGCTCTGTCCCTTATGAGAAGGCCATCTGTTAGACGGCACTGTACTTTGCCCTGTACCGCATTTCAGAACTAATAAAATCAACATCACTCCCGTTGTCCCTTTGCTCGCATCTTGATTGTGTAGCCTGTGGGTTTTCCGTAGGTGTCGATGGTGTTTTAACAGCACAGACAGTGTTTCTCCGCCTTCTCCCACCCTCTGTGTTCACTTTGTTTCCCTTGAAGCTGTCCTATTGTATTGGTCTGAACAGTAAAGTCAGAGAAGGAGGATATTTGATGTGGGAAAACCAGAGTGGTCCTCCATCGACGGGCTCAGGAGTCCACAGGCAGCTCAGGCCGGCCTCTCATCCATCATCCTGCCACAGAGTTTCTCGGGTTTTTCTCACTGTTCCCAGAGCAGTCGGCTGTGATGAAGTTGTTACTGATCAGAACTGTAGAAATCGCTAATAAATAGTTAAAGGTTATGGATTTTTAAGATTCGGGGACTCTGCTCGTGAGTGAGGTTTTGCGGCTCCTTCCAACTTCCTCATTTTGTGTTATTGTTTCTGAGATACTCTGAAGAAAATATCTCTGAAAGTGATTTTGTATCATCTCTAGGGTACCAGTTCCTCTGTGCCCCCCCCACCCCAGATGCAATTAGGAATGTATCCTGTATATCATGTCTGGTAGAACTTTGCTTTTTCAAAATTAATTTGAAAAACAATTGAATTTGGAAAATTATATCAGACGTTCAGGTATAAGACAATCACATTTGTGATATTTTTTGGCTAATACGTTGAAGATATAAAAGTGTCAAACCCCTATGTATAATAACAGTCTAATTATCTTGCTTCAGAGGGGTCCATCATTATAGTGTTTGAACTTGTTACCTGCCTACCATCCACTCCTTCTTTATGAGTGATGTTTAAAACATGTCTGGTACGTTCAATGTTTTTGGAAAACCTGGACTAGACTCTAAAGAATGTTATGTCGATGGAGTTTTGATGGTTTTGAAATATCGCTTAAACTGAATGGCTCAAGATGTGCAGTCATATTAAATCAATGCTGAAAAGTTACAACGCTAATAAATTGTATTTATGCTAATGGTTGAGTCTGATTTACTGCGGCCATTAAAAGTGAAGGATGGGGCAATAGTCTTCTGAGAACGGCCATTTTCCCTGTTTTCTCTTTTATTCTTTCACAGCTCCACAAAGTGTGCCGACTCCCTCAAGAGTCCGCAGCATAAATGGGTATAGCGTTGAGGTGAGCTGGGACGAACCTGTTGTGGTGAGAGGTGTAATTGACAAGTACGTTCTGCGGGCCTACAGGGAGGATGACCCCCGATCGCCACGCGTGCCCTCTGCCACTTCCGAGCTTGTCAGTACCAGCACCCTCACAGGTAAAGGTGATTCCTTCGGGAGTACATTTCATGAATATTCTGTTTGACTTGTTTTTTTTAAAAGATTTTATTTATTTATTTGAGAGAGAGAGAATGTGAGAGAGAGACTGAGTACGAGACATGGGAGGGTCAGAGGGAGAGGCAGACTCCCCACTGAGCAGGGAGCCAGATGCAGGACTCGATCCCGGGATGTTGGGATCATGACCTGAGCTGAAGATAGTTTCTTAACCAATTGAGCTACCTGGGCACCCTCTTTTTGACTTTAAATAAAAACATTCTTAAAGAGTTCCCCCCCCAATGAGCTACTCCTATATTTTGCTTTATTAAAAACAGCAAGAACCACCTACTGAGATGGAAGTTTATATCTACCTAGGATAAAGAGGATAATTCTATAATGTCAGTGGGCTCTTATGGACAGGTTCATCACAAGGTTGATATCCTCCTCCCCAGAAAATAAGGTCACAGATGGCCCTAGCTCTTAAACACTCCATACATCTCCTACGGGGTCCTCGGCATACCTATAGGACCAGCCTACCTACTTTACCATGCAAAAATGTACTCTTTGGGACCAGCCCAAGTTCATAGCACCATTATTTATTGGAAAATTGTTGATTAAACCTAATTATGTCAAGGTAGAAGAGTATGAGACACCAGCAGTTTGATTGGCAAACCAGTGAATCAATTTCTCATGGGCGCCATGCCGGCCATGCAGAATGATTGCAGGGCAACACGCTGGTACATCATACACGTGTCCCATACTCAGATGCACGCATGTGTACTAAGGCAGCAGTTTTCAGTTTCATGAAATGTGAAAGCACATTCAGGTGGAAAGTCAGGTTTAAGCCTTTACCAAAAATAAGTAAAATGCATCAACAAATTTGATAGAGAAAAATTTTCCTCTGTCAAAGAATTTTATAACTTGAAAAACTATATGGATTTGAGAATAGGCTTTATTATCCTTCAGTATCTATTGGTCAACCCCATCTAGCCTTTACCTCCTTATTTAGATCCCTTGGAAACTACCACCCAAATTGATCACCAATTACACAGAATTTCACATCTTCCAGTCCCTTCCTCCCTATTTTACCCACCTGATGAAGCCCAACCTGATGACGCCCATAGTTTGCCTTTGCTCAGGCTGCACATTAAAGCTAAGTAGGCGGGAAAAAAATGTGCAGTTGGTCACTACGGATTCTCAGTCTTCATTTTCAAATGGGCACCAATAATGATGCCAACCCTACCATATTTCTAGAATAAGCTCCTTCTCCTATCCTCCTCATTCAATATTTCAGATTTTCCCAAACTGTCTAGTTGCTAAGCTCCCTTCCTCCTCCAACTCAATTGATGGTCTTATGTATTAGATTGTGTTAGACACCAAGAAGAAACAGAATCTGTCTTATAGGATTTCTGTCACTCTTACTGACAAACATATATATTAACTGCATTTCTCTGAGCGATAGGGTTGTTATTAGGGGTTAAATGCATTCATGTTTGCTAAGACATTTAAAATTCTTTTGGCACATTTTAAGCATTCGCCATCATTATTATCTGTTTTTTCTTTTCTTTTTTTCTTTCCTTCCTGTTTTTACAAAGCTTTCCTTATCATATCAAAAATAAAATCTTCCAAAGTCCTCTGGACCCCAACTCTTCCTGCCTTTTCAGCGATGTGACTGGTAATTTTTCTCCCTCCCAATCCTATTTTAACCTCTCTCCATGTGGTTCACAATCTATGGCCCCAGGACCAGCATCAGCAGCATCACCTGAGACCTCATTATTAATGTCAATTCTCCAGCCCTCCCACACGTGTTGAATCAGCAACTCTGGAGGCGAGCTCAGCCATCCTTGTTTTAATAAGCCCTCCTCATCTGACACTGAAGCATGCTAAAAGTTGGAGAACCGTTGCCCAGATGAATCCTTCCCAGGACCATTCAAACTCTACCAACTCCCATTGTTAAACATAAACAAACAGACTTAAGCCAATTATTAAAAACCTTCCTTTTATCTAAATTCCTTGCCAACTATGATTCCCTCTCTTCTTCCCGAACTTGCTTCTAGCAAGAAGTATTTATGGATGTTGTCCCCATTTCTTCATTTTATGGGGCTTCTGCACACTTGCCTTGCTAAGGACACCAACAACTTCCATATTTATCTTTCTCAAGAACGCTTTACAGTGCCGGTCTCTGGTAACTCCCTAGATTGAAAACCAGTGAAATATGTTATTGGATGTTGCTATAGGATAGGTCAGTCATGTGAATGGTGTATAGAGAAAATAAAGTTAGAGAACCACTGACCAATTATATTTATTTTTATATACTCAATCTGTAGAGAACTAAGGAAAAAGTCTCAACTATCAATGCAATTTTGTTAATTTCTCTTCTGGAAACTTGCTTTCTCTGTCTTTTCCTTTTTCTTATTACTTTACATTCATTATTTATATTTTAATGTTCAAAGTCACATTATTTTAGTTATATCTATATAAATAGCATCTAGTTTGATTTAGTTTTATATTCAACTTGCAGTTGAATTGGGAGTTTAGCTCATTCACATTTATTTTTATAATTCATCAAATTGCTCTTATTTCTGCCATCATATTTCATACTTTCTGGTTTTGTTATTGTTTTTTAATACTTTTTAGAACTATTATTCTTAGTTCTTGTCTGTGTGGAGTATGAATTCTTTAACTTTTTTTCCTCAAGGAGTCAAAGGTATATGTGTGGTTCACAATTGTGAAATAAAGAGACAAGGACATATATAAGAAGTAATCTTAAAGATTATGGAACATTTAACAGTAAACAGGAAAGAAAAACAGAAAGTGAGGCAGGGGTAAGGAAGTAGTCAGAGAGCTGGATTTGGTGGAGATGGGAGGAGTGTGGAAATTGGATAGTGGCAGCTGCTTTGTCATTTGGTTGAGATAACAAGGTATTGGGAGAGGAATGTAAGTAAAGTAGGTCATGACCAGTTTTGTGATTGGTCTTAAATTAATTCCCCTTTAGCAATTCTGAAGTGACTTTAGTGAGGTTGTAATGTTTACTTTTGATTGTTAAAGTGGTATTTCTTTGACTGAGACAATGCTGGTGCTGGATGCACAAGGTAATTTAGCTTTATTTGTTCACATAAGGTTCTTTAACCAGTTAAGTTGTAGTGAAATGTGTTGGCGTCTTTTCATATATTTCTTTCTGTTATATAGCAAGCTCTTTTATTCTTCAGACATGGGTCCTTCTTTGGCTTGGAAGGGTTGCTGTTGTATATATCATTATTACTTCTGGTGGGAAATAGCAGTTTTCAATATTGTCTATTTTTGCAGTCCAGAACACAACTTGTAGAGTCAAATCGATCTAGGCTCAAATTCCAGCTGTGTCATTTATTAACTGTATGATCCTAGGCACATTAAAAAACATATCCCTGTATCAGAATTTCTTCATCTATAAACCTTTATGTTATGGAATTGTAGTGAAGATAAAAAAAAAATGAATTACCTCTATAGAATATTTTGCTCAGAACCAGGCACAGGTGAATGTTCAACAAATTCATCTTTATGCTCCTTGGTCTCTGAATTCTAAGTTATGACTTTGTAATTGTTTCCCTTTTTGTTTTCTGATTTTTTATTACAGATTCTGCTCTTTGAAACTTCTAAACTGATTTTTAAATTTTTCTGTCCACAGTTCACTTGCCCCATCCTTAAATATACCTTCAGACTGAGTGGTTGCTCAAGAAAATTAAATCATTTTCAAATCACCTTACTAGGCACTTAGTTTCTCTTAACAAAAAAAAACTTCACTGGGATTATGCCAGGTCAGCTGAGGAAAAATTGCAGTAGCCTCCTGGCAATAAATAAATCTCAACACCCTTCTCCCCAGGTTTGGTGAAGAAGGCTGAGAACCTCTAGGCATTCTGTACCCAGATGGGGGTTGGGTTTGCCGTGGGCTCTCTTTCCAGCAGTCCACTTGTTTTTGCCTGGTGTCCTTCCAGGTATTTCTAAACGTTTGGTCATTTCATTGGTATTCTTGTAAGGCTGTGGTTCTCCACCATGGGTGTGCACTGAGCTGCCTAGGAAGCTTTAAAAAAATATTGAAACCCAGGTTCCACCTGCAAAGAGTCTGACTTTTTGGTTTAGGATGCAGCCTGGGCCTTGATGTCTTTAATATCTGAAAATAATTCTCTTGTACAGCCATCATGGGGAAACACTGGGAAAGGGAGGAGTTTGATACCATGATCAAGACTTAATTTTACCCAGAAATGCTTATGGCAACTTTCATCTCCCAACTGAAATTTGAAAATGGAGGACAAAAAAAGATGAATGTCTATATAAGAATGATAAGATATTGAAATTAAGTAGATAAAATTAGCAAAGGAAAATCACAAGACCACAAAAATTAAGTGCCTGAGTATTGCAAAGAGGTGGGAAATTATGGTCCACAAAATGCAAAAGCAAAAGGGAAAAAAATGAATATTAACTGAGAGCACTGGAAGAATAGAGTAATGGGGCAGAATATTTACCATTCATGAATCTGGCTACCAGAGGATTAAATGAGATAAATCCCAGTAGCAGTGAAGAGTCCAAGGGTTAACAGCCCCACTCAGGAGCAAATGGGCCCCTTTGGGCTACAGGGTCTGGATTCTGTGCCCTCTGAAGGCCAGGGTTCAGAGCGGAGAGTTCTTGAAAGTTCATTTCCTCAGCTGGAGCCTCAGGGTAGAAAGCCCTGCAGTTATCACTCCAGTGTATCTTTAGACTTGTTGCAAAGGGCTCCAATTAACTCTGGTAGCTTTTGCTGATTTTCCCTCCAGCCCTGTTAACATGCGAAGCTGCTTCCCAGAGAGACAGTCCTGGCATTTCCCTTCAAACCAAGGGCTGCTCAGAAAGTGACTTCACAATTTGATTTGAAATTATGTCAAGAATGAGCGGATTCAAGAATCTGCACATATACAATATTTTTTTTCTTTTTTTCCCTTAAGATAGTAAACATATAAACTTATCTGCATAGTTAGTACAGCATTTGACA